ATAAACACAGAACACTTTAGGCCCTATTTGACCAGTTGTCTAACATGTTTTCATCTACAGGCACTGTGAGAAAACCTGAGAAAGAGCATGTAGATTACCTACTTTGTCTCTTTCACTCCTAGTTGGAGAAAAATCCCTATAAGTGACGAAAGCAATCAAGAGTCCTAAAGTGAAAAGCAAATATGTATGCATATTTTTCTCCCTCTGTTCACTCCCTAGCTTATCCCCTTCAGACAAGCAGTCTACAGAAATCTATACTTTAGGGTCTTGAATTAAAACCCATTCCTTCTCTCTAAAAAGTCCTTCAAATAAATAATATGGAATGTTTTGACTGTTTACATCTGTAAAAGTATTTAATCTTATCTGAAACTTCACACCTACACAACTGAATTGGACATTATATAAGAAAAACACAATGTGAATTTCTCTTACAGAAATTTGCTTCTCTATCTCTGTCTTTCGAAAGGATTACAGCAGTCAGAGTTTCTTTCTGCCTTAACTCACAACCTTAAAAATAACCATTGATTTGTTTTAGCCAAAATGGAAGAGTAACATTTTTATTAAATGTAAAAATATTTATTCCTTTCGGAAAAAAAACTTCATTTCTCCAAATCTACTAATGACTAATTTCTCTGTAATTAAAATGAAAACTGAATCTGAAAAGCAGAGACAAATGTATAGCCAGAAAATCTATAAACTAGTTTTCATTGAATGAACTACCTGCTGTTTCCTGTTCACAGATAATTGACACTGTGTAGATAGGTTGTAATCTAGAAAGCAAAGCAAAACAAAAACCATACAGAGAGAGGGTGGTAACTGATCTACAAGCTTCTGAATTGAAATAAGAACTGATGGTAAACTGAGGTTTCCAGGAGAAGGGTTTTAAAAATAACATGCTAATCTGGAAAGGCAGATACACTATGGCCTTTGTAGAAAGATTCTGAACACTGGGCACCCTCCCAAACAGCTGTATTTCACTAGTATTAATTGGTAGGGGAAAATAGAATGCACTTCTTCACGACTGAGAGTATTAAACTTAACAAGGAGCAGTGACAACTTACTTCAGTCATAAGCAGATTTCAGTTAAAAAGCTTATCCATTCATGAGGAAGGGTGTTCAAACTTCAGAGGGTTTTGCTTGTGTAAAGAAACAAAAGGGAAGACAGAGAACTTTTCTTCAGTTAACATGTTTATTCTCTAAAATTATCTGGTGATCTCGGAATTCTTTCCTATTTTTGATTCACTTGAGAAGAAAAACTCTTGTGCTCAGTGAAGCAATTTAAAAATCCCAGGCTAACCCCTTCTTCTTGTCAATACACTGAGAAAACTATGTAAAAATAAAGCATAATTATGTCTCCCATCTGGGTTGCTGCCACTGTAGTCTGCATTCTTACAAGTTGGTTTCTTCCCAGTATTAATGAAAAATAGACAATGATTATGTAAGCATTTTTAAAGTACTAGTGTGTCCTATGACTGACCTACCTATATTTTCCACCAGTTCTCTCTAGATTTTTCTAATAAAATAAATTTTAAGGAAATAACTGACACTTCACCAAGATGTTCTAAAAAATATGGCTAGAAAGAAAAGAAATCAGCAACTCAAAAAGGATTTGGGGTCAATTATCAAAAAAAAATTTCCTTTACAAATTACTTTATAGACCTGGTTAACATTTTTCAACTGAACTGCCTATACTGAAAGAATTTATGATACATGTAAACAAAGACTCCCAAAACAATACAAATTGTTGATTCAACATTGAAAATGTTCTTTTTTTCCTAATGGAAACATAACATTGCCAGTAGGAAGTTCTTAACTTGAGTAAAAGATTTTTCCTCTTTTCCTTATACAAAATAATAGCTAAAGAAATAGCTTCAGGCTGATCTACTACATTTCCACTTTAGCTAATAAGAAAATATAACTTCTTTTCCATTTCTAACTTGATAACATCATTTAAACAATTAGCTAAGGATTGAGTATACACAAAATAAGTAAATTTTGTTCCTTTATTCAGGAAATGCCAGAAACAACAAATTTTCCTATACAGCTATGGATATCAGTGTTGGGTTTTGAGGGGTATTTTGGTTCTAGAAGGTACTGATTCAATGTCACTTTCAGAATATCTTAACCTGGAGTCCATATATTGTTATTAAACCTATAGGTTTTTGGAATTATATGTAAAATTTCATGTAATTATATGCATTATGTGTAGAATATACACACCATTGTGATTTTTCCTACAGCCAATCATTCTTTTTGACTACCTAGCATCCATGCACCCTTTTTCTGTGAACGGGACCCCATTTTCCTCTGTAATTCAACCTTACTGCCTAATTCATGGAAAATGATGAAGCTGACTCTATCTCCTCCTCCAAGAGAGACGCTGTTGCTGTTTAGAGGCTAAGTCGTTTCTGGCTCTGCAACCCCATGGACTGTAACCCACCAGGCTCCTCTGTCCATGGAATTCTCCCAAGAATACTAGAGTGGTTGTCATTTCCTTCTCCAGGGGATCTTCCTGATCCAGGGATCACTCCTGCATTGGCAGGCAGATTCTTTATCCCTGAGCCACCAGGGAAGCCCAAAAGAGATGCAGAGGATTATTCCGTGATCTAACCAACACGAATTAGTACAAACGGATTTTGATGGGTCTTCTGGGAAACAGTCTCTCTTTTTCTTGTTTGATCTGAAGCCTGAGAGACTGTTATAGCTGAAGCTATGCTGCTGCCACCATCCTGCTCCCAAATGAAGCCAGAGACTGGGGCTACATTAGTGGAACCTCAGAGGTCGAGAAAAAATGAGTCCTGTTTATAGTATTTTAATCCAGAAGTTAGATCTGTGCCCATATTTTCTTTCATTTTTTAAGGAAATACAATAATTTCTTTATTTTTTTTAATTATGAAAGAATGATAACATATTTATAAATAGATTTTCTATACTTTAATAAATAACACACACACATGCACACTCATACCATCTTACTCCACAAATTAGCATAGTGACTTCTTCACCTTAAATGTTACTGGCATTCTCTGACCTTTTCTACCTAAATTCCCCTCTCTGTATTCTTCATTCTGTTCATCCTACCTGTCATTAATCTCATTACCTATTGTCAAAATCATGTGCCATATACTAGTTCTAATTTTGGTACACAGGAATTCGGTCAGTTTTCCAGTCCTTTTCGGTCAAAGTTTGCAAAGTACAAGCTTACTTTTCAGGATAGAGGGACAGGGAGAGAAAAAAAGAGAGACAGACAGACTGAGAGAGACAGACAGACAGTGAGGGAACAAGGGGAACAGATTTTAAAAAACTGAAGGTTCAAGTAGAGAGCCATAGAGTAAGATTCATCAATGATGGAACAAATCAAAATTCTGATTACACACATACAAAAAAATACATTTTAGTCAAGCAAATATCTATAGCATAGATTAGAAGGAAAAGATTTTCACACATTTTGATCTCTATTTCAACCAAACTTAGCTGACATAATTATGGAGCCCCTCAAAGTAACTGCTGGGGTTTAGTAGCACTTACCACTTCCTTTGAACTGGCTCTATAAATGCCAAGAGTGAGTATTTTAGATTAAATGAATAGATTAATAAACATCTTTGGAATATCCATTATTAAGGTTGATTTATGTTCTCTTGCCAGCAGTAATTCAAGAAAATGCCATGCTATTCAAAAAATATTGCACGTCACTCTCACTACTTTGCCAATGTTATGACACCATGCAAGTGTGACAATATCTATATTCTTTCACTGAACTAAGTATACACAAAAGCTGATAGATATTAAACCACTTTAAGTTTGCATGGGCATCAGCACAGAAAGCACTCATATTTATAACTCTGATAAATGGCCTTTCATTTGTAAATTTATAGTGTATCCATAATTTCTTTAGGGAACCAAGAGTTTCATTCAAAAAATTGCCACAACATTTATCTATCTAAAGATGATAGATATGGTTTATGAAATTAAATGCTTTTAAAAATTAAAATCATATTGCTAAGAAAAAGGACATGTTCTTTCGTGGTTTGCTCACATTTTTAGATGATCACAACTGCACTCTCAGCAGTTACAATATTTAATCTAAATAGAATATTAATATATTTATTAAATGTGCCCAAATATATTGTTGTATGGTTGTGAGGCATCAGTATGAACTACTGGGCATCAAGTTCACTTAAATTTACTATTTTATTTTCTAATACCATTCATCTGCAGTAACCTTATGAAATATATAAAGTATCATTAGAATATAATATTTCTTATTTATATTTAGTACTAATTACTAATTACTGTATTTAGTTTTTCAGGACTACTCCCAGCAAACTTCATGGCTTATTGTAAGCATAGACTATTAAAACTATAACAAATAAAATTACTTAAATAACATGTATATTTGCCAAAACATCAATGTTAACTAAACAAGGAGTCCTACTTTTAATCCCAATAAACACTTTGTTCAGTTGGAGAAATCAATGAAGGAGAAAATGAAAGATAACAATTAGCACTAAAGTAACCAGTAAAAAAAACAGTAGTCAAGGTTCTAAGTGCAAAAAGGCAAATGGGGAATACATGTAAATCCATGGCTGATTCATGTCAATGTATGACAAAAACCACTACAATATTAAAAAAAAAAAAACAAAACGGCAATGTACCCCGTTACTACTTGTGATTCATTTGTCATCATTTACTACCATGAGTAGGTAACACACACAAAACTCAGTGCTTCGGTTCTTTCTAGAGTCATTGCTTCTTTTTAATCTATCTTATTATTACAGAATCTAATCCAAAGAGTGAACCTTAGTTATTTGATTTGGTTATATGAACAACAATCTCCAAATTGCAACTTTCTTTAGAATTAGCTCATCCACTCCAAAAAAAATGTTTCAAATGCTTTCAAAATTTCTGTGCAACATATATTTCTTACATATTGAGTGCTCTGTATTCTGCTTTAAAACCAGATAATAATCAAAATAAGAAAAAACAAGCAGTTTACATACCCCTGTGGACCGCTAACTCCTCGTTGGCAGGCACATCCTCATCATCATCTTTGGGTCACAGGTGGCCAGCACAGCACCTGAGATACAATGTATACCTGTGAATGTGTCTGAATGAATTAACTGATACAGTGGGTGACTAGAATCCACTTGGACGGTATGAATTCAATAAAGCAAACAATCTATCTACCTAACCTCTTCCTCTATATTCTATGTTATTAAAGTTTCAGTATATGAGAACATTATGAGTATATGAGCAGTATATTTTATTAAAGTAGCAGAATGTATGAGCATATATATGTCATATATATACATATATATGTATGCATGTATGAATGTATGTATGCATGAGAGCTGGACTATAAAGAAGGCTGAGTGCCAAAGAATGGATGCTTTTGAACTGTGGTGCTGGAGAACATTCTTGAGAGACCCATGGACTGCAAATAGATCAAACCAGTCAATCCTAAAGGAAATCAGTCCTGAATATTCACTGGAAGGACTGATACTGAAGCTGAAGCTCCAATATTTTGGCCACCTGATATGAAGAACTGACTCACTGAGAAACACTCTGAGACTGGGAAAGATTGAGGACAGAAGGAGAAGAGGGTATCAGAGAAGGAGATGATTGAATGGCACCACCAATTCAATGGGCATAAACTTGGGCAAGCTCCGGGAGATGGTGAGGGACACAGATGCCTGATGAGCTGCAGTCCATGGGGTCACAAAGAGTTGGACACAACTTGGTGACTGAACAACAACAACAACATACATTCTTAAGGCTTCCAGTGTGGCTCAGCAGTTAAAGAATCCGCTTGCCAGCGAGGGAGACACAGGAGACTCAGGTTCAATCTCTTGGTCAGGAAAATCCCCTGGAGGAGGAAATGGCAACTCAAGCCAATATTCTGGCCTGTAAAATCCCATGGACAGAGAAGCCTAGTGGGCTATGGTCCATGTGGCTACAAAGAGTCAGACACGACTGAGGGACTGAAAAAGTGAAAGTGAAAGTCACTCGGCTCTGTCTGACTTGTTGCGACCCCGTGGACTGCAGCCCGCCAGGCTCCTCTGTCCATGGGGTTCTCCAGGCAAGAATGCTGGAGTGGGGAAGCTGTTCCCTTCTCCAGGGGGTCTTCCCAATCCAGCAATCAAATCCAGGTCTCCTGCACTGCAGGCAGATTCTTTACTGGGTGAGCCACCAGGGAAAGTATGCATGCATATATTCTTTTTTTTTTTCATTTATTTTTATTAGTTGGAGGCTAATTACTTTACAATATTATAGTGGGTTTTGCCATACATTGACATGAATCAGCCATGGATTTACATGTGTCCCCCATCCCGATCCCCCCTCCTGCCTCCCTCCCCATCCCATCCCTCTGGGTCTTCCCAGTGCACCAGCCCTGAGCACTTG